TCTGTGGTGCCCATTAGAGGCAAATCTCAGCCATGGTTTCGTCGCTCCTGTAAAATAGAATCATGCTGTAAGCAGGAGTGCTACCAAGTCTGGGCTGACGCATCAACTTTCCGGGATGTTAACACCAGCGCTCTAAAAAAGGAAGTATAATTCCGCCTCTAGGTCCTTCAAAAGAGTCATTGCCAAGGCAAAGTCAGAGCACATAGGCAGAAGTGGCGAGAAACTAGTTCGCCTTCCTTCTGGTACCCGTGCATTCTGGTCTCTCGCCAAGGCTGTCCAGGGGAATTTCTGTCAGCCATCTCTTCCATCTCTGTACAGGGAGGACGACTCACTGGCCCATGCCGCAAAGGAGAAAGCCGATCTGCTAGTCTCTTTCTTTGCGTCCAACTCGACTCTTGATGACAGCGGGAGTACGCCGCCGACCATCCCGCGGTGTGAGTGCTCCATGCCGGAAGTGCAGTTCACACAGCGCTCGGTTCGCAAAGCACTCTTCTGCCTCCCTGGACATCCACAAGTCGAGTGGGCCTGACGGAATCCCCCCAATTGTGCTGAGGACGTGTGCTCCAGAGTTGGCACAGGTCTTAACGCGTCTTTTCCGGTACTCCTACTCCCTAGGCGTAGTCCCAAAATCATGGAAGACGGCTCTCGTCCATCCGATCTCTAAAAAAGGTGACCGCTCAGACCCGTCCAACTACCGGCCTATCGCCATCACCTACTTGTTCTCCAAAACAATGGACTCTATTGTTAACTGCCAGCTCATGAGGTACCTTGAGGATTACCAGCTGATTAGTACTGATTAGTTCTACAAGGCTGCATGCTATCGCCAACGCTGTTTCTTCTGCATATCAATGATATGTTGCAAACCCGTAACATTCATTGCTATGCAGATGACAGCACTGGTGATGCTCTTTACACCGGCCGTGCCAATATTTCTCGGGAAAACGTCTCCGAGTACCGGGACAAACTTGTGTCTGAAGTCGAGTCTTTGCTGAACAGAGTCTCGGATTGGGGGCGACTAAATCTAGTCTGGTTTAACCCCCAGAAGACACAAGTTTGCGTGTTAATCGCTAAAAAGAACCCCTTTGTCGTATCTCCTCAGTTTCAAGGCACTCCCCTTGTTGCCTCAGCCAGTATCGGAATCCTCGGAGTTGATATATCGAGTGACGTGCAGTTTCGGGGTCACTTGGAAGAGGAGGTCAAATTGGCCTCTAAAAAGCTTGGCGTGCTTAGCAGAGCGGGACAGTATTTCATGCCGGTACACCGCCTGCAACTTTACAAGGCGCAGGTTCGGCCGCACATGGAATACTGTTACCATCTCTGGGCTGGGGCTCCCCAGTACCAGCTCCTTCCACTTGACCGCATCCAGCGCAGAGCGGCTCGAATCGTCGACGACCGAGTGCTTTCCGATCGGCTCGATTCACTGGCGCTGCGAAGACATGTTGCATCTCTTTGCATTTTCTTTCGCATATACCATGGGGAGTGCTCTGAGGAATTGTTCGGATTAATCCCATCCACCAAAATTCGTGAACGCACTACGCGGCAAACGTCCCGATACCATCCACACCATCTGGATGCTTGGCGGTCCACCACTATACGTTTCAAATTGAGTTTTCTTCCGCGTACAACCTCTCTGTGGAATAGTTTACCACCGGCGATTTTTCCGGACCGATACGACCTGGGCACCTTCAAGAAAAGAGCTTACCCCTTTCTCAAGGGCAGGCAACGCACCTTCAATTCCCCTGGTGTTGCAGTTGATCATGGGCGGCGGTAGTCACTTAACATCAGGTGAGCCGCATGCTCGTTTGCCCCCTCTTCTATAAAAAAAGTTTGTTACACTCAGACCACCCAGCCTACGAGACTTTTAACGAAAGGCGACAAATTTCTTCACTTCATCTGCTCAACCAGAGTCTATATAACACACGTAACATAATTAACGCACTTTGAGAAAATAGTTTGTTCAGAATCGTTTGCTGAATCAATTCCTATCATTTTTAATATAGGTAATTTTTTATCCCAAAAATAATTAAAACCATGTAAATTACAGTCACACTAAATCTGTACAGTCAAAACAAACTGAAATGGACAGTAACTTAAGGCAATAAGACTTTTAAGATTGCAGTTTTATTTGTATCATTACTAATTCTGTCATTCAATAAAAATAAAAATAAAAGAACTTTATTTCAAACAAGTTAAAGTCTTTGCATTCGTGGATTTGTGCTGTGACCACAGCATTCTTCCAGAATTAGTATAACGAATTTGATAAATAACAGTGCATAAAAATGTATAACTAAACATTCAGTGTATGTATTATGATTATAACATAATATACTAATTGGGGTATCAGAGGGTGTGCGTTAATTACGTTACATATTTCAGTTAAACACGAACGCTACCCTGTTTAGTATTGACCAGACAACTGACCTGTGCACTGCGTCCTTAGCGTTACAATTTCTTAAAATAAAAATAGTAAAACATGTCTACTTGCGCAGTAAAATGGTGTGGTAGTGATAGCAGGAAACATAATTACAAGAAGGACAAAATCACGTTTCACCGGTAAGTGTAAACATTTAATAATCTCAAAATACTAAAAACGTGAGGGTTCAACGTATTCTGGTCCATTCTGAGGCTGACCCTCTCAAGCACGCAGTATTGTAGTTGCGTCTCTGTCCATCAATCAGAGGGGCTGTACTGGGTTGTACCTGTAGCTGTAGGCGGCACGTGTAAGTAGAGATGCCCAAAAAAGTATCGATGCAAGTTTATCGACTATTTATTGTGTATACGAACAGTCATTTTATTATATTTGTGTATTAATCTACTTGTAATTATAATTTAAAATCGAAATTATACATTTACAAACCCACTCTCTTACTGACTGACTGACTCACTTATTGACATAATTGTTCTCCAAGGAGGAGCCATCGGCGGTAAAAATGATTTATGGGGAGTTTTATTAGTGGGTGATAGTAAGTATGGAGAAACCTCCAGATCTTCAAAAACTACTCCTCATCAGGGAATAAACATACTGCATGCCGAAACTATAGCACTTTGACGAAAACATTTGCCATTATAGTATTGTTGTTTACCTTGGTGAAATTTGATCGCCCATAATATTTTTTTAATAGCGGAAAATCTGCTCTTCATCATCAGGGAGTAAATCTAATGCATGCCCAAAGTGAAGCAATTAGCCGCTAAGTTTAGGTATGCTATTTCAAGGTTTAGTTAGGTAATTAACTAATTACTTATCGGAATTAATTTTGCTTAGATTCCCAGCTTTCTTATGCATATTCCGCTCTTAACGGATTTACGGTAAGCGATCAGCGTTGTAAATGACATGTAAAGCACATGTATATATTTTAAAGAATGACATTGACATGAAAAACATGACTGTACCTAACGGTGTATTTTACGCATCATTCATTTGTTTATAATTACGTTACGTTTTCATAGTCTCCCCTATTTACGCGTACGATATGGTTGTGACACATCTTTAAGTTACGTCCCCCGCACACCTTTCTTTCTTCTTTACTTTGACAGACTAATTTAATTAGAGAATCGTAATGGTTTCATGTCTCATAGGCTGGGTGGTCTGTGTTGCTATACTAGTTACATGTCTATCACCAACTAATACTGGTCTACGCTAATAAGAGATATCTATTTATCTAAGGTAGTGTTGTCAATTTAGCGATTTTATCGCTAGATTTAGCAACATTTAGTTTTCTACAGTAACTTAAATTATGTGTCTAGCGACAAAAAAATCTAGCGACTATTCTGACGAATTATTTAAAGAAATTATTATATTTTAAATAAATAATAATAATAAATCTTTATTGATCAACTAAAATTTTTTACAATGATCTTGAGATTGTGGAAATCTTCTTTTAAGTGTAAAAACACCTGTGCCAGAAGATCCCGCTCTTCCATAGCCATAATACAGATAGTGATCAACTTAATCCGTAAGATATAAACTATTAAAGAAATGTGTGTGTGTGTGTGTGTGTGTGTGTGTGTGTGTGTGTATGTGTGTGTGTGTGTGTGTGTGTGTTTGTGTGTGTTTGCTTACTAATATTGTTACTGTTTTTTCATAGTCTAATTGTTTTAACCATTTTGTCAACAACTGTTTACAATTATATCTATTCAATTTATATATATTGAGAATTTTGTTTATTTTATTCTATATAAAAACTGATTGCTTTTTATATTGATGAGAAGCAAATTTTGTGTTTACTTTCTGCGTTACTATTGCAGTACCTCTTCTTCTTTGCAAAATGTTCGAATCATAAGTCAGACTACTATGCATTTTTAAAACGGTTTGTAAAATATATAATTTTCTCACTGTAAGTAGCTCACATATATTATATAATTTTTCTGTACAAAATCTGTACGGTTTGAAAAACATTACTTTGAGTAATGCTCTTTGAGCCCTTTCTACTTCCAAGAATTCGAAAAATAAATAAAATAAATAAGTATTTTAACTATCTTCATAAAATAAGGCAAGGTTCCGAATATAGAGACCCAGAAATCTTTCTTCTCTATATTTGGGACTGCGTTCCGAAATAGAATATAGTTCTGACAATTCTGTCTTATTCCCACTTGTAGCCTTTGAATGATACAGACTCTTCTGAGAGTAATATTTATCCAATTTCGGAAGGCTGCCATAAATTCTTATGCTTGAATTAGAGGTACCTGAAAGAATTGCGCTCAGTTTGCATCCCTAGCGCTCAGTCTACTGGGATCGTTTAGCGACTTCTAGGGACTTTTGATATTTGTTCATAGCTAGCGACATTTAGCGACTTTTCAAGCGTATGTTAACGACTTTTTGACATGTAGAGTTGGCACTTGGCAACACTGATCTATAGCTATAGCATAAAAAATTTAAAGATAAAAAATAAAAACTCTAAGCAAAAAAACTATACACATATATAAAAATTATTATATTATAAAATTAAAAATCTGTTGGTACTTTTCAAACTAGGAAAAGAGATAAAACTTTTTCAAATAAAATGACTTCTAATGAAAAATTTGTAAGTACTTTATCAATTTAATATAATGTCGCCCTTGTTTACGAATAGATTTTCTCCTTTTATGACTCTTTTCGATGGTGAAACTTAATAGAAGTGACTAGACAATAAAATAATCAAGTTCATTTTAACAAAGATAATACCTAATAGCTAATTTACTTACCATTTCTGGGAAAAACAAAGTAGGTACTTTTAAAAAATCGTTTTGTTAGGTACTTTGCAAGTATTTTAACAAACTATCTATTAATTATAAGTTAAATTTAATGATATTTACAAGATTCTTCTTTTAAAAAGTAGTACAAACTTTGTTTTACTAATTTATTGAATGTCTCATGTTTTTTCTTCATTCCATAATTTCATTTCAATCATTTATCAATTACAGCCTATAAAAGTATTGCTGAACTTAGGTCACTCCCGAAGTCTATTACTGTACTTAGGATTCTCCCATATATCGCCTCATTGTGAGATTTTGATGTAGTTGATTTGCTTGGCTGACGGCTTGGGAACTGTGGCTTTATATTTTTTGAGTTGTTTCTGGGAAGATGTTGCTGCCCATCTCCTGGTTCAGATTCCCTCCATAGCCACTCACAACACCCAATGGTATGGATATCTTACACAACCATTATGGCCTTCTTACTTTTACAAAATATTTCAATAACTTGGAGGTACAATAAGAAACAATTTAATTTTTTTTTTGTGATATTTACCAACATAATCAAGTATAAGTTTTTAAATACATACATTTAGCCTCAGCTTAGAGTACCATTTAAAGGCTTCATCCTGGTCTGTCAGCCACAAATATTAAAAAATAAAAAGCATGTCGAGTCGATTTCTCAGCATGAAGATTATTGCTGATAAAGAGATCTGTTTAAAATTGTGATGTGTAGGTTTAATGCATCTGTTTAATGCTTTGCAAAGTGCTTAGCGTAGAAGGAAAACTTTTTAAGGAAACCCACATGTCTTAAAATAAGAAAAAAACTATTTAAAAGACATGTGAAATGTCAATACCCTCTCATAAATGAGAAGAGGCCTATGGCCAGCAGTTGGACGTATAATAATAATACATTGTGAATATTATTATATAATGATTTGCAATTGTCATTCCTTAGTCACAACAATATTTACTATAGGAATCATGGTGGGAGATTCTTCTTAGCTATATGGTAATTAGCTATTGTGTTTGTTTGTTTTTTCAGATGAAACAAGCAGTTGTTGTGTTGCAGCGTATTAAAATTCTTGGCTGCATGAAATGCCCAGTAGCATTTTCAAACATGGGCGATTACAAACTTCATAAATTGAAGCATGACCTTGAAAACATGTAAGCAAAATATACAATCTTACTAAAAATTTTAAAATAATGTGTATAATTATGTTTTATATTGTACTAGCGATCCAACCTGGATTTGCATGGGTGATTTCTGAATCTCGACAACGGTGCCATCTACCAGATCCAATTGTGAATCTAAACCTTCCCACTCAAACATAAACAATTTCATAAAATACGGTCAAGCGATTTTCAAGTTTTAGTGAGACTAATGGACAGCAATTGATTTTTTATATTGTCTAATCTAATCTAAGCAACAGTGCTATTTACATAATCTTATTTAGGCTGAAAACTGAATTATATTTTAGCAGTAATTATTAGTTACACTTGTCTTAAATACCATAAATGAGTTTAAAAACATATGGTCTAGGGCCATTTTATGTACTAATTTGTTAAGAGTAAAAGAATAATATTTTGCGTTAAGTACAAAAGTTGTTTATTACACATCATTGTATACAACACCTAAATAAAGGCATAACAAAGGGTGGGCTCACAGACATAATAATTTAGATCTATGTCTGTTGTAGGACATTGCTGCCAGTCAACCCGGGAGGTTGGAAAAAATGGTATAATAGGTAATATTAAGAATAAGTATTGACCCAATTCATAACCCAGATATCTGACATAGAGAAGTATCAACTGAGAATCATATTTCTTTATTCACAAACAATCCATCAATGTGGACATGACCTTTAAAACATTTACTCACTCTACTTATATTTTCTTTGTAGACGAAAACGAAGGCAAGAAAAGAGTAAGAAGTATTATCAATCTAATAAAGAAGGTTTTGAGAAAAAAATTCAGTGTGACGAGTGCGATATGAAGTTTGTGGAAAGGAGCACACTAGAAGCCCATTCTGCCCTGCACAAGCCTTTCCCACATGTGTGTGACTGTGGAGTAGGATTTTATGTATATAATGACTTAAAGTGTCATATGGAACTAGTTCATGCAGATGAAGATGGTGTGAACCAATCAAAAGTAAAAAACCAAAAGAAAAATAAAAAAATACAGAACCAAAAGGAAAATATGCCAATTAGGAGCAATAAAAGAACTAAATAAATGAAAATGGATACATGAAAAGTAGGTCTTACAATGATTTACTATAATAGACTGACTAAAAATTATAGAAACCTAAATTTAGATAGGAAAAGTAGCATTTATTTAAGATCCTCGTAATAGATGGACTAGATTTCCTCAGAGTAATACCTGATTCTATTATAAAATTATAGCACCTAAATAAGATATTTCAAGGTATTTTAAGTTTATTACCAAAGTAACTATTAGTTGTAAGAGTTAAATTTTAAAAAAGTTTAAGAAGTTTTGTTACTTAGAATACAATAATATTATGACTTTTAATTAAATTGGAAATTATTTACATAGTCCAGGAGGAATCAGTACACGAGTACAAAAAACTATTCCATCTAAATTTTAATGAGATTCTCTTCAAATTGTCCTACTGATGATATAAATGTATGTTGCCATGGGGCAACTCTGTGCCATACTGTTTAAACCGTTTTATTTTTCATATCATAATCATAAACACTCACGCCTGTCACCCAGAGGGGTAGGCAGAGACTACAAACTCCATTGACATTCCTCTCTCGCCTCCTACACATCCACATACCTACACATACATGCTCGTCGGTTAAGGGTACTCTTGATTTGGGATTTTCAATATATCAATTTTTTTCAATTGAAAGGAATTGTTATTTTTAAACGCGACAATATTTTTTTATATTCTTTATAGTAATACAAATAAAAAGTTAAAAAGGTCTTATGAAATTATAGGATAAAGTTGATAATTTCGGAATTATGAATTTTAAAAAGTTTGAAGAATCCCAAATTTGAATAGTTTTTACCCATTAAAAATACATAAAGAAAAGTAATAAAATATACAAGATATTTTTTTATATTAGGAATTTGATGAAATATGAATAAAAAAGTCCTACGACTTTTTACAATGAAGTTAATATTTTCGCAGTTATGAAGTTTGAAAAATCCCAAATTCGGATAATTTTGGTCATTAAAATTATGTATAGGAGAAGAATAATTTTTTTTTTCGTTTGAAATTAACAATTTAATTGAAAAAAAAAAAACTGGCTTTAACAATATGGCACTAATTGGCCCATGGCAACTTGCATTTATATCATCAGTAGTACAAGTTGAAGAGAATCACATAAAAAAATTGAGGTGGAATAGTTTTTGGTTTTTATACGCCAATTTGAACTCTTTGACCTCCTGGGATAACAAGCATATTTTCTGATTTTTGATGTACTGTGCCTTCTTTTGTGAAAGTGTATTTAAAGTGGCTATGTAAATATTGGTTTATTTTCCTGTGGTTGTTGTGCATACTGAAAGGTGCCCATGGTGACCAACCAGTTTGGGGTGTATTTTTCTGAAGATGGTTTAGATAAAGTTGTGGTATGTATTTTGGTTTGATTCCGGGTGCTGGTGGTCATTACAAGTTTTTTGGAACCTCAGACAGTGAAGCTGATTTACCTCGTTCAACATAGTTGAGGATATTGGGTTTTATAATTCCTTTTGTTGCTGATCTGGTAGTTGGAGGTGTCGGAATGTCTTTTGGATTTACTTTCTTCTGTCAAGTTTGAATCGAAATGTTAGATTCAGATTAATACTTTTTCGTTTATAGTTCTTTTGTAAATAAATATTACTTTAAAAATATCTGTTTTTCTGACCCTACCTAACTGGTTTGAATTAACAGCTATGACGTCACAATATGGCGCCAGGTCAGTCCTAATCTTATTTGATTGGGGTAGTATCCATTATAAGATCACCAGAACCGAAACCCATTGTGGCTCTATACATATGACTTTTATGTGGGATTGATTCTTGCAGGGAATAAATATTTGTATGACCTTAAAATAATTGTTTGTCCATGTGCGCGTAATTGTTGCTTCTATATCAGAATTAAATAGTAATTAATTAGTAGTTCATGCTCTTGTATACTATTAAAATTTTAGCACCCAAGTTCCTCACTTTATCAGTTGCAACTGCTCTGTTAATTTCTTTAATTTGTTACCTCTATATGTTCAGTTCATAAGTATATATAACAATATTATAATATTATAAAAGTAGGTTTTGTAGTTGTCTCAAGCTCTGAATGAATCAACTCTATTTTAGAGACAAGTTTTTATAAATGACTAATGATCCGTACCGGCTTCGCACGGATGATATCTGAATCTCGTAAACAGCGCCACCTACCGGGTCCAATAAGGTATTACACCCACTTTCAAATTGTTTTTTTATTGAATCCTAGAGTGATAATGAACCATTACAATTTTTATAAATTACTTTTAATTTATTGCATTGTTATATTTACAGCGAACGTAAACCACTGAGCTTTTTATTGCATTGAAAATTTGCGCGAAAACGCTAGCCGCCAAGCTGTTAAGCTCGTGACGTCACTGCCCTAGTAAATTAAACGACTGTAAAGGAATAGGCTCCATTTAATAATAATTTATGATCTTTTATCATTGGTGTGATCTGCTTGAATGCAAAAATACGAGCATAAGAAAGCCAGGGAAGTTATGGATTTAAATGCCGACTGATTTAAATATGATAAATACTTGGGTAAAACTGGCAAGAAGAGTCCCCAATACATTGTCTACAAAAAGTAGACTATACTTCTGTGCAGATCATTTTAGGACATCAAAAAAAAAACATCATTAGGTAATATGTATCGCAAGTCAAATTTTGTAATAGATAGCCAATTATTGTAATCATAGACAAACATAACTTTGTATTATGAAAAGGCACTCTGACCTGGTATTGTGTTATTGTATAAACGAAAGTTGATATTATTATACAACTTAGCAGAAAAAAAAATCTGGATTGCATTCAAAAAATTTTGCTTCCATCAATGTATTTATCCTTGGTAGATTAGTACTTTCAGCATTTACGAATCCGTCGTACATGATGCCATTTCAATAATAATATACTGAATAGAAATCACATCCGTGATGATAACTTGAAAAATTTTGAAATAACACCACATTATAGTCAACCAAATCTAAGAAATACCTTTTGACGTCTCACATTAGTCATTCCGCAATAACTTTGCACAAGCGTACTCATACGATTTACAATAACCTTTTACCTAAATCCGAAGAATTATGAAGTTCATCATCATCATCATTACAGCCCTTCACAAGTCCACTGCTGAACATAGGCCTCCCCCAAGTAATGCCACAAAGCACGGTCCTGAGCCACCTGCCTCCATCGACTTCCTGCATATCTTACCAGGTCGTCACTCCATCTAGTGGGGAGTCGCCCTACACTACGCCTACCGGTACGAGGCAGCTACTCGAGAACCTTTATGAAGAATTATGAAGTTATCTATATTTAATTTCAACATGTTTAGTTTTTTATCGCTAATTTAAATTCAAATCTTTCAAACAAAGCAAAATATTAAAAAAATAACCAGTATCAAATTTTTTACTTGACTTCGTTTCAATGATATGTCGCTATGTGCCTTACCGTAGTGTTTGGATGATTAAATGCATTGATAGGTATGCGAATAAACAAAAACAATCAAATAATCGTTAAAAATATTCAAATAACCGAATCATTATTTTTTTAATGTATTATTTGTTTAATTATTTTTTTTTTAAATTCTTTAAATTACATGAATCATGAATAAAACAAGTTTATTTTTTTTACTTTGTCAACATCAAGGACAATGGCGAACTCCCAAATAAATTTTAATAATGTCATCTTACTTAAATCGGCAAAATCTACAGAATTAATTTGACAGGTCTATTTACTTCCCAATATTTTGATAGATGGTGTCAAACTAAAACGTTACTAAACTGAAATTTAAAAAATAAATAAAGACGAAACCGTTACTATACCAGTTGTCACCTGTCACTTGGTTGGTTGGTGTAATTGTCATAAAAGTACAATTTTAAGTTATTTTTTAATAAATATTGATTTGTTTTAATTGACGTGTGTCTAAAATACTTTTGAAATATATTTTAACAGTTCATATAATAATAGCTAGAATTCGATTTTTAATATATAGTAATATTGTTTTTATACTAACTTTAATCAATTCAATCCTAAGTGAAAAAATAATTAATGCAAAAGTGTTATTATAAAAATTAAAAAGATTGTAAAAGATCATTATAGCAAATATTAAATCAAAATTACTACTTTCACACATCAAAAAAAAATAATTTAACAAATAATCTCAGAAATATTTCATAATGTGTTCATTACTTGCTTATTAAGAGGTAAACGGTAATGCAAAAATCGTAAATTAGCTCACCTGTAAAATTTAGTTTTTTTTTTGTATCGTAACGGTTTTGAAATGAAGGTACTTAGAGGTAGGAGGTAAATGCAAAATATATATAAATATACTATAAAATTCTGAACATTTTTTTCTTCGGTCATACTACTGCAGGAAGTCGGGAATTAAAGACATTTCAAGTATACACATCAGACAAGGCTTTATGGTATGAAACGCCTTATTGGCAAATCGTTCCAACAACAACTAGTCAATATAATTTTCATGTATTATGTTTATATAGGGTAGTTACTAGCATAAAGGGAATCATTAAAGATTGCATTAGTATTATAGAAGAGTTTTCTGAATAAAAATACACGTCAAACTCGGCTGTATGTTTAAGAACTTTGTCTGTCTTAACTGACAAATCGTAACGACTAAATCAACTAGTCAATTAAGTTTTGAATTGTGTATGATTATTTTTTTCTATAGCCCAAAAGCTTGATTAGATAATACGTAGTAAATTATTTTATTGATATCTGTAACGGTGACGTTAAGTAGACGCTTAATAATTCCATCACCTATTATTTCACCATTGTCCTTTGTGTAGGCAAAAAAGTAATAGACAAGGCCGCGCTGAAAAAACCAATAAAAAATTCAATCTTCCGCCATTTTGGGAGCTTCCTATATGTAATTTTGTGATTTTGTGTTTGTCTTCTTATTTTGTGACTCGGCTTTAATTTTTTGGACTGTTTCTATATTGAATATCGTCACATGCTTCAACGAATTTCGTTGAAGCATGTGTCGATGTCAA